GTCAAAGGCTCAAGGTGGGGTACCTCAACCAAATCCCCTTCCTCGGCCTGGGCAACTGGGAAGTATCGTCTCTCCGAGCAGTTCAGCGTCCACCGATATCCCTCCCCACCCCTTCCCAGTGCACAAGCAAACGTCGCTGGGCCATTTGATGATGATGTCAATTAACGGCTCTCGTTGGTTAGTGTGGTTGTCAAAATCTTGCGTTGGTGGATTGGGGGAGTCTCAAATTAATTCCGATCGGGTTTGGTTCCTTAATCTTCCACTTCAATATGTTTCGACTGATGATTCACCGTGGCTGCCGCTGGTAGATTTTGTTGGGCTTTGTGGGGTTGCGAGTGCTGCGACAATTTAGTTAGGGGGTGAGGTCAAGTGGAATTCAGACGATGACTACTCCTCCTTCTGATGACGCACGCCAACACGTGTTAGTTCGACTGATTCAAAACCGTTCTTCACATGCTTGCCAGTTCCACGCCTTCTATTCTGTTGACACTGGGTAGCTTGGCGATTTCTACTGCCTCGGCTATCAGTCTCTGTGACCGTAGTCTCTCGACCATAGTCCTCTCCTCAAAACCTCAACATTTTTCACATTTATTTTGTGTTCCGTGTCTAGTACATGTTGTGTAATTGCAGAGTCTTTTAGTAACGCTCGATATTCATCTGTGTTTCTCGGCGGCCTGTTTATTTTCCTCTTATGCTCTCCAGTCTGGCGTGAAGTTCCCTGGCCGTCTGCCCCATATAGCCCTTAATGCAGTCGTTACACTTGCTTTTGTAGACATAGTCCCTAGTTCTATTTGCCCGGAGTCGACCCTTCAATTGTGCCAGAGCAAAGCGCATTGTTTCGCCTCTGCAAAGATACTCTTATGTTGGCTGTGTTTAGAATTCTTGGAATGACCTCCGATGTCCCTGGTTTATATGGAATAACAGCGGTCCCAAACCATTCTCGTTTGGGTTTCGCCACCGGTACCAGCGACCCCTCCCCCCCAAAAAAAAAAAAAAACTAAATTGTCGCAGCACTCACAACCCCACAAAGACCAAGGAAAATCTGTCAGTGGTGCCCGAGGTAAATCATCAATTGAAGCGCCCTAAAGTGGAAAGCTAGGGAACCCGATCAGAATTAATTTCAAACTCCCGCAGTCCACCAACGCAAGATTTTGACAACCACACTAACCGACAAGAGCCGTTAACTGACATTCAACACTGATCTAGGGTGATAATCTGAACAGGATTAATTGATTGGTTCTCGGTTTTCCCTGAAACCTGGTCAATTTAGTGACCTGCTCACTTGGCTTGATGAAGCTTTTGTGCAAAAGTGAAACGTCGCCCAGATAAAAAACTACCAATTGTTTTCCAAGCCCTTCTGAAACGATGACTTCTCAATCGGTTCCAAACATTTTCCAATTGGTATGTCAACACTTGTCTTACCGTCTTCAATAGCAGTTGTCGTGGTTTAGGTAGGACAAAAATGCAGCTATTGCTGAACAGACGATTGTTGGCTGGTTCATAAGAGTTGCCTGATTAATGTCGTGGTAGGCATTTAGCTTATATGCAAACAAACAAAAATTGGAGTATTCGATCAGCAGTGCATCAGCGATCACCAAGATCACCGTAACTAAGGTCACTAAGAGTTGGTGTCATTTAACAAAATTCTACAAAAATTCAGAGTCAAATTGATGGCTGACTTTTCAAAGACGCCTAGAATTGATAATTCATGGTCCCAGTGCTGCCTGTGATTGCTCTGACAACATCCGAATCACTCTGAGATATGTTCAGCTGGATGTCTATGTGCACTACCAGTGTAAGCGTCCCTGATCCGTGCATCCGAGTTTGAGCTGCCTTTTGTCCATTCGGACTTGTCATATTACAATAATACCGGACAGGCCAGTCTCAACAAAGTAGTGTCCAATGAACGCCTACTCTGAATAGAATCTGACCAGTAAGGTTACGTCCACAACTCATCAATGGTAGTATACACCTAAGCTTGTCAGTGTTCTACAGGCTTCGTGAGTTTTACGGCCAGATGCCTAGCTAAAAAGATCATTGAACACCTACCAATCAAACGTCCTGAAAACTGTCCGAGTTAACCAGACATTTCGTGATTATAGTTAGCGCAACAAGATAGAGGATGCGTCTGGAGAAAAATGACTCACTTTGGGTACATGCGGATTGAATTCAACAGCCCGGTGTATGGCTTCCACGGCACTAAGCTCAGCTGGAGTCAGTCCCCGCCGTGAAGCAATATCCGGAGAAAACCTAGAAGCGGTGTTGTAAGGAAGAGAGGATAGAAACGGATAAGGTGATGGGATACCGGATGCCTTGGGTTCAGAAAGCTCAGCTATACTCCTCCTTATTTATGGAGACTGGGATACAGGAAAAAGAGAAGCCAAAAGAAAGGAATTTCTCGAGCGGTAGAACTGAGAGACCTAAATATCACTGTGTTCGGCGTTGCGAAAACCAGAAGTGGTGGTGGTGGAACAGACTTTAGTCAGTGAGATGGAACTCCAGGCAGGGCGAAACAGTGAGCGGGCCTGGGAAGTATAGAAGACAAAATAAACGTGTGATGATGATTCACTTACATATTGGACTGGTCTGATAATGGAATTGAAGCAAGCCTTAGGGTTCATTTGGGTCGATATTTGAGATACCGGATTACTGATCCTTGATACCGTGAGCTTCATTGACAGTGTCTTACCGATCAGTCTAACGAGATGCATCAGATATCCGAAAAGACTAATAACTATATTACAAAACTGAAGAGCACATAATGAACATAAGGAGTAGGAAGGGGTGGGGTTAAACTATCACCATTAACATGGACAGCACAATGCAATGTTTAGCACTGACGCATCACTACCGCATAAAAAACAATTTATTATGAAAAAAAGAACCAATGGGAGTAAGAAAAGAAGACTGCAAAACTGTTGGGACTATTGCACAAAAAAACGGACAAACACAATTCGGGAGGTACTATCAAAGCCAAAAAACTGGAAGCAACGAAGACCAGCGTTATGTGGAAAATCCAACGCAAGGACTTTAACAAATACTACATTGGATAAGAAGGAAGAGAGTTATCCACCAGACTGCACGAACACCAACTTGTCGCTAAGCGGCAAGTCCTCTCTGCATACAAAGATCAGGAAGAACACGAGGTCAACTGGGACAGTGTCCACATAACAGTCTAATCAATAACAAATAATGGACGTGAATTTACGGAAGCATGGTACTCAGCTAACAGTCATTAACAGACACATGGAAATCGATTCAATCTACCAACTCCTCAGGGCTCCGGAGCACTCAAGCTCGAAACGATATCAACAAAAACGACTAAGACGGATAAAAACACATTCAACAGAAAGAGAACCGGTGGACTGCACACGTAACTCGAATACCTATCTGTAAATCAGAAGGCCTAACGGATGGAGATGGTGTCAAACAGAAGGGCATTTTATGAACCAATCAAGAGTTAGAAAATGGGACCACGGTGCAACTGAGATGGCAAACGGACTAATCAAATCAACGGAAGCACTGAAAACAGGCGTCTGATTGGCCAACCAAACACCAATCAACCGAATACTGACGATGCTTCCTGGCACTGTGATAAAACGTCCTCTAACCATGTCATACCGGATTAGCTGGCAGTGGCCTAAGTGAAAATTACCACCGTCACCAACGGCAAACGAAAACCAGAGAAGGCAAAGGCTTGACAGTCGTGCAACCATCATAAATTGCTTAGTAAGGAGTAGTATTAGTAATAATAATCGTTCCCTTTCAGTGCCTAGTTGTCATGACACCCATAGAAAGCACGGTACAATTACGGTTTGTGCAGCTGTCCAGATGGGTGAATCGGTCGATAAACCCAAAATGCTCTCTCCAGATTTTCAAGATGATATAAGGATACTCAGAATCATGAAGCAGCTGGAAGACATAAGTCTCATACCAGAACTAGGGATCACATCGCAAATCCTATTCAGAGTGAGCCGTGCGGACCGATGACCATCAAATGCTGAGACGATGTCATCCGCATAGTCCACTTTTATTAACCCTTCTCTGAGGTAAATTTCTATCAAGAGTATTGATTGCCTGGAGTGTTCATTCCATGGTGACACCGATGAATAAATTGAACACAAAGGGATAGAGAGGGCAATCACGCCGAACTTCATTAGTTGCGGAAAAACTTTTGAACAGTCTGCATCACTTACCAGGGCAAAATCCGAGTGGCGGCGTTATGTTGCCGTGTTGCTGAAACCACTAGCCATGCTACAGCAGGTGTAAGGTTTACATTTATACGGTCGGAAGCAGACACAGAAACCGACGGCCAACTAAGCAGTTGTATAAAATGTCCTACCAAACTGTTGGGACTATTGCACAAAAAAACGGACAAACACAATTCGGGAGGTACTATCAAAGCCAAAAAACTGGAAGCAACGAAGACCAGCGTTATGTGGAAAATCCAACGCAAGGACTTTAACAAATACTACATTGGATAAGAAGGAAGAGAGTTATCCACCAGACTGCACGAACACCAACTTGTCGCTAAGCGGCAAGTCCTCTCTGCATACAAAGATCAGGAAGAACACGAGGTCAACTGGGACAGTGTCCACATAACAGTCTAATCAATAACAAATAATGGACGTGAATTTACGGAAGCATGGTACTCAGCTAACAGTCATTAACAGACACATGGAAATCGATTCAATCTACCAACTCCTCAGGGCTCCGGAGCACTCAAGCTCGAAACGATATCAACAAAAACGACTAAGACGGATAAAAACACATTCAACAGAAAGAGAACCGGTGGACTGCACACGTAACTCGAATACCTATCTGTAAATCAGAAGGCCTAACGGATGGAGATGGTGTCAAACAGAAGGGCATTTTATGAACCAATCAAGAGTTAGAAAATGGGACCACGGTGCAACTGAGATGGCAAACGGACTAATCAAATCAACGGAAGCACTGAAAACAGGCGTCTGATTGGCCAACCAAACACCAATCAACCGAATACTGACGATGCTTCCTGGCACTGTGATAAAACGTCCTCTAACCATGTCATACCGGATTAGCTGGCAGTGGCCTAAGTGAAAATTACCACCGTCACCAACGGCAAACGAAAACCAGAGAAGGCAAAGGCTTGACAGTCGTGCAACCATCATAAATTGCTTAGTAAGGAGTAGTATTAGTAATAATAATCGTTCCCTTTCAGTGCCTAGTTGTCATGACACCCATAGAAAGCACGGTACAATTACGGTTTGTGCAGCTGTCCAGATGGGTGAATCGGTCGATAAACCCAAAATGCTCTCTCCAGATTTTCAAGATGATATAAGGATACTCAGAATCATGAAGCAGCTGGAAGACATAAGTCTCATACCAGAACTAGGGATCACATCGCAAATCCTATTCAGAGTGAGCCGTGCGGACCGATGACCATCAAATGCTGAGACGATGTCATCCGCATAGTCCACTTTTATTAACCCTTCTCTGAGGTAAATTTCTATCAAGAGTATTGATTGCCTGGAGTGTTCATTCCATGGTGACACCGATGAATAAATTGAACACAAAGGGATAGAGAGGGCAATCACGCCGAACTTCATTAGTTGCGGAAAAACTTTTGAACAGTCTGCATCACTTACCAGGGCAAAATCCGAGTGGCGGCGTTATGTTGCCGTGTTGCTGAAACCACTAGCCATGCTACAGCAGGTGTAAGGTTTACATTTATACGGTCGGAAGCAGACACAGAAACCGACGGCCAACTAAGCAGTTGTATAAAATGTCCTACCTGTCAGGACTATATAAACCATACCTTTGCACACACCATTAACCCATAATTTTCACTGTATTTTCAGCTCATGTACTACCGTTATTGGACAATTAAAGCATTAAAGCATTAAACATTACGCCCTGCTACTCTGTCTTCCTTCTAATCTTGACCTGGAACTACTCGACTCTCGCAACACTACCCAACGATCTAGACGTTCGCTTTCATCATGCATTAGACTCTAGGTATTATCTTTGAAAAGCCCATGAGGAGAGGGTGTCCTAGACCAGGTTCCGTACACTCTCCGCTTAACTGGGCTCCATTTCTTGAATATTCTGGTTTGCACCAAATCTCCATACCAAAAAAACACGTTACATCTGAACTGACGTTTGACGGTCCGTTCAGCTGAATAATTACAAGGTTACAGACGGATAACGAACGGTCTGTTCGAGGAAGTGCTGAGATCCACTGGCTAGTATTTCCGTGATCGGAAACCGCATGTCGAGTATACCGGTCATCCAGAAACGAATCATGTCTTCTGAAGACACTGCCTCCAAAAAATCACCGTGGGTTTCAATACATTTGCTTGATTGATGGTTCAATAAGGCTTTCGGTTGGTGAACGAGACAACAGTAGTACGCTAGTGGGTGGAGAGAACGCTAGGCCTGCATGGAGCATTAGGGGAAGGCGAAGCATAAGGCAGAGTGTGCATGAATTTTGTCAACCCCAGAAGATTACCTCAATCATTTTTAGGCCAAATAACGGTTCTGAATTTCCTAGCTTCGCTAAACCAATGACAAATTATGCAGAACCACGGGTGAGCTTACCATCTTGAGTGGCATTGCTAATCTACCCCTTAGTGTTCATGTCGGTTATCCCTTGTTGCATACGGATTTCGTTCAAAAAGTGGTCTCCAGTGAATACTAATTTGCACGGAATACTGAGATGAGTCCCAACTCCAGTTTATGAGTTCAAGGAGAGAATGAAGTTGATTGAACTTCGGGGACCACATCTAATTGACGAGCCAAGAGTTGACGAGACCGGTAGTGGAGAAAACATTCTCGGAGGAATTTTACGGCGAGAACATACTTGCTTTCGGAACACAACTGGGAATTCAGAAGATCAACAGTCTTTCCAACTTTGCGATGCCACTCCTCAAGGGGCTGTCGTGTACACAGTCCACTAAGAAGAGGTGCTTGAGCCACACAACTATGGGACGCAATGAGCTCATGTTAATAGGATCGGATATGTAAAGGCATAGAAGCGCAGTTAGATGCCAATGCTCTGCCCACAATAATACACCAGATGTAGCTATCGATGCTGCTACTTCGATTGATTAATTCAGTAGAAACCAGTTCCGTTAGACTGGTGAATGTATTGGCAAAGCATATAAATGGGTTGGGGGAAGCAATTAACCGAAAGCTACTGATGTCAGTAGCCAGCTTGATTGAAGTCATTTAGAAATTTCTTCTGCTTCGCTGAACATTCCGTCCGAAAGACTGGAGCTTACCATCTTGAGTGGCATTGCTAATCTACCCCTTAGTGTTCATGTCGGTTATCCCTTGTTGCATACGGATTTCGTTCAAAAAGTGGTCTCCAGTGAATACTAATTTGCACGGAATACTGAGATGAGTCCCAACTCCAGTTTATGAGTTCAAGGAGAGAATGAAGTTGATTGAACTTCGGGGACCACATCTAATTGACGAGCCAAGAGTTGACGAGACCGGTAGTGGAGAAAACATTCTCGGAGGAATTTTACGGCGAGAACATACTTGCTTTCGGAACACAACTGGGAATTCAGAAGATCAACAGTCTTTCCAACTTTGCGATGCCACTCCTCAAGGGGCTGTCGTGTACACAGTCCACTAAGAAGAGGTGCTTGAGCCACACAACTATGGGACGCAATGAGCTCATGTTAATAGGATCGGATATGTAAAGGCATAGAAGCGCAGTTAGATGCCAATGCTCTGCCCACAATAATACACCAGATGTAGCTATCGATGCTGCTACTTCGATTGATTAATTCAGTAGAAACCAGTTCCGTTAGACTGGTGAATGTATTGGCAAAGCATATAAATGGGTTGGGGGAAGCAATTAACCGAAAGCTACTGATGTCAGTAGCCAGCTTGATTGAAGTCATTTAGAAATTTCTTCTGCTTCGCTGAACATTCCGTCCGAAAAGACTGGACCTTACCGTCGTGTGACGGTTTGCGCACCTCAGCGGCCCATTGAGCTATACTGGGGGGTGTCCCCGCGACACTCAGTCTCTCCTGCCAGGTTAATCAATAGTTAGCGGTCTGACAAATACAGTCTCCTGGCGCCCCAGGTTGGGGGTTGGAACATGTGGCGACTTGTTCCGTAGAAATCGTATTGCATTTTCATTTCCCGCCAAAAACCGCTGCCTCTCGGTTAGGCTTTCGAACCAAAGTCTTCGGCTGAGGACCCTAATCGTCTACCTGTCCTCCTCCACCCTGAGAGTATCCCAACTCATGTACAATCATGACAATTACAACTTACAATACTCGCATGCCACATCAGCCGGATCGCCTTACTCGCTGCATACAGCAGGGCGAGTAAGCGTAAATAGGCTACTGCTAACGCCTCTCTCCTTTCTCCAAACATACTCTTTTCCCCTCTCCCAAACCCAATAACGGCTCTCTCCTTGTAGACCGAGCACCCAAGACTGCTGACTCCGTTCGTTGTGCATCGGTTCTGCGTGGAATATCTGCTCGTCACATGGCGCCGACATCCTCAGGTATCTCCAAATCAATCTTGAAGCATCGGAACCCAGTCTATCTGGTTGGCTTAAATGTCCTCACTCTGAAACAAGCAGGACAACAAGCTGCTCTTGCGCCCATACTGGACTCACTTGGCATTGATGTGTGCTGTATCTCAGAAACAAGAATTCAAGATGCAAGCGCAGTGATAGAGCTAACCGCCCCATCAGTCTCCACTCGCTTCCAGCTACGCACCTCTGGTGATCCAGAGGCCACTGAGGCAGGTTGTAGAGGGTCAGTATCGTCCTAAATGACCGGGCGAAAGGATGCTTGCTTGACTGACAACCCGATGATAGTCGCCTCTGTGCGGTTCGTCTGGCAACTTCTGTGAAGGAGTCTCACAATCGGGAAGCTGATCGCTGCCCGTTTGTCGTGTCCGCGTACGCCCACACTGACTGTAGCTTCGAAGCTGTCAAAGACACGTCTTACGACGCCCTGAATGCCCTGCTGCGGCGAGCTAAAAGCTCAGACATCGCGATGGTCGCCGGAGATATGAATGCACCAGTGGCCAGGTTTAGCGTATCCGAGACTCAATTAGGAGGTCGAAATGGATTGAAGTCGGTATGTACGGACAATGGTGAGCGATTGCTTCAGCTGTGTGCTGACCACAAGTTGTTTTTATGCAGCACCAACTTCCGAATTAGCCGAAGTCGTCTGGCCACATGGTGTCCTCCAAGGACATACGGTTCAAAAACTCAAATCGATCACGTTACCATTAGCTACCGATGGCGCAGATCAATAATTGACTGTCGATCGTATTGGAATACATTAGTGGATTCTGACCACGCGCTCGTCCGAAGTCGTTTCTCCCTACGTTTTCCAGGGCCGCGCAAGGCGCGGACAAATCGCTTAGCAACTGAGATTGGAAGATCCGGACGTTAGACAAATTTATCAGAATCATATTCTAGAGTCTCTTCCAAATGCTCCACCATCAGATGTGGACTCGTAATGGGAAGAGATTGCCACCTCTTTGCATAGTGCTGGGAATTTTACCAGTGGCACGGCCCAATCAAGCGCACGCAAGCGCTGGATATCAGACCGAACAGTAACACTGCTTAAATCTCGGAGAAACATCCCAGCCGGTGCGAAGAGTTATCAGACATCAAGTGAAAGTGAGCTGGCGATCCGACCGTGAAGTATGATGGACACAGAAAGCCAAATAAATGGAAGAGGCCCAGAAAGTCGGTAATGCCCGAAGATTATTTCAGTTGATCCGTGCGACCGGTCCCCGGAACACCGATGTCATGCTGTGATGATGACGATGATTCGCTGAACGTCTTTGAGTAGTCTTTGTTCTGTACTTTCGTGCGTTGGCTTTCAGAGGTTCGTAGCAACCAGTTGAGACTAATCAAAACTGAACCAACAGCAACAACTACGTACGTACATGGGACCTGTCACAGGGACGCCAAGCCCAAGGCAGTCTGATAGTTGCACCAAGGTCTCTGGGTGCATTCCAGCAGGGTCGGTAATGATTAATCAATATAGCCACGTGGAGTAAAGTTCAGGACGCTGTTTTGGGGTCACCTTGATCAGTGGGTCGAACTATCACGCGATCGATGAGACATGTTTTCGCAGCATGCGATCCACCGGTGGATCGATTAGTCCTTTGACTCAATTAGTCAGGAAGGACAGACAAGAGATTAAGTAGACGTCTCACAACAGCTGTCTCAGAACCTTACTGCCAAAGCTTTCAGTGAGGCTATATTGACCGACCGGTCAGAAATATTGCCTTATTATTAATCGAGCCTGATCGACTGTTGACTGGAATGTCTTTATAGGTGGATTACGAGCAACCCATTGTTCAGGCACGAACAAGTGATCACTCTTACTTCACCTGTGAGGATTTCCAGCTGATTCTAGTGGGTCACTCAGCTGAATAACGGAGGGCGGATAACCTCAATTTTCTGCAAACCTTTACTGAAAAACGATGCATTGATCGCTAGCACGATGAACCCCATCGGTAGCGAAAATGGCAACATGAGGTTGAGCATGTCAGATAGAGCGTTACTGTCCAGGGTCTATGAGTTCAGAATATTTTTGGAACTGCTTCGGTGATGATAAGTTTGACCAAATGAGGATGTCACCAAGTCATCGACAAACAAATTTTTGGCCAGACACTGAAAAGCATTTGTTGAGCAATCGGATTGGGAATAGGAGCAATCAGATGGGCTATTCCATTAACAGAATACTGAACACCGTTAAGCTGCGTCGCCGAGCAACCTTAAGTGTGATTGTCAGTCAGTTGCGACGGATAAAAATACGAACAAACGCAACAAAAATATATGGATTGATGAACAAGACGGGAGAAGCATGCAAACCGGACAAGATGGTGGGCACTGAGGCCCAGTGAAAATCGCCATTCATAGCTCACACGAAAACAACACCAAAGACATGGCGGACATCATTCAGACACAGCGAGTGTGCTATCGGAGCAAGCGTGGAGGAGTCCGAAAGTCCATTCAGAAATTTCTGCAAGTGATCCCATTTCGGGTACAACTTGTCTCGTCACCCGGAAATAACACATTCAATTTCGAAACCATGGGAAGCACAGAAATGTCATCATATCAGGAAGACCTCTTGAGGTCACTCGAGCTGTATTCCAAAGAATAGTATGCAATATGTGCGCGCGATAATTAAGTAATGTGGACACATATCTACACTAGCCAACACGCTATCCAGACCAACTGAACAATAACCAGATAGTGTGTGGAACAAGAATTCCGTGTACCGAAATCTAATCAAACCGTTCAGCTGCGACATTTTGCTGTTAAGCAGGCCGTGAGATGGCCCAGTGGTTGGAGTGCGGATTTACTGACCGGAAGATCCGTGGTTCGAACCCGACCTCTATCTCTCGGCCTACCCTGTCTAGGCTTAGGCAACCTGAAAGTATCGCAGCCCTCGTGCTTTCTTCGGGCGGCATAGCAGCCAAGCACCGAAAGCGTATTACAGCTAAACTATTTAAGCAGGCCACATTAAGTATGAGGGCTGAAATAGCATTGGAAAGTGCAGGGAGCAAAAAAAGTCATGGGCTCTAACCACGGTTGCAATTATGTTACCTCCGACTCACGGCGATCGATAAGTGGGTAGACTATCCATCTACTTACCTAGGCAAATCTTTAACTTATTTGACCAATAATATCCGCAATCCGCCTTCTAATCCAAGTAACAAGCAACAGCGAACCACACCAATCTAAAAGCGTTCAGCTGTAGCACCCTTCCGGTGCCTAGCTGCCATGCCACCCGAAGGAAGCACGAGGGCTGGGATACTGCCAGGTTGCCCAAGCCTAGACAGGGGAAGTCGAGTGGCGCAGGTCGGATTCGACCCACGGACCTTCCGGTCAGTAAATTCGCGCTCTAACCACTTGGGCAATCTCGCCCCCCACACCAATCTATCGTTTCAAGTCGTTCACAATAGAATTGTCAGATAGGACACCAATTCTCGGTCGTATGCTTTGGACGGTACAGCATCAGCCGTAAGCAACCATGGTTGAGAAAAAATCGTACTGGAAAAACACCTATATACATTGTACGAAGTATGGCTGCTTTACTAGGTTCATCTCATCCAACCAAATTCCACGTTTTTTAATCAAACGTATCAAACTTCGACAAGGTTCTCTTCAGTATAAATATGCGTGCTTGAGGTGGCTTGTTGGCATACGGTCAGAGCGTTGTTTGTTCACTCACTGGAGACTATTTTGATGAAGCCAGACAGGCGTGGCCGAATGGCTCCAGGGTTATAGATTTAGTGTAACATGGCGAACTTCTGAGGACTAAATTTACCCACCCGAAACAATCACCCGGGGAAGTTAAACTGGATCGACAACACATTGCACCTAAGGTTGCTGAAATTTTTTGGAAAGCCCAATACCGCTCATTGAACTCATACGGCAGGCGTAGTCCCCCGTTTCCGTCAACCTAATAACCTACTTGAACACCAAATTGTCCGTCATTGCCGAAGCACTCATTTGCAAATTACACTGGTGTTCTGTCGAGAAAATATACTGCGATATCTCGAATATACGACCACCTGTAACATATGGCGGTGGTATTTGTACAGTACATTCATTCATCATAAACGAGATATTCAATTGAGTCGTGAAGACTTATGCTTAGGCGAATAGGGCTCTCCTAATACTACGTACAGCCAGCTTACTTCCTCTCCTCGTCCGCTTTGATCCTGTTCTTCAATCCTAACGTCCCGAGTCAGCCTATCAATTTCGAGCGTCTCCTGTTCTGTCTAACCAAACTAGTTTTGATCCCCTATCGAGTGCCAAAATGCACAAATTCGGCGACGTGCCTTGTCGGAAAAACAAGGCAATGCTTGTTGGGCATCTTCATATAAATAAAAAGAGGCGGTTGAATGGCAGTGAAGTGTCAGTATTCTCACAAAAGTGTTGCCAGCAACGTGAATGAAAGCACCCGCACTACACAAACATCTCGTGAAATTCTTGTCTGAGAATTAAACAACAGTGCACGTCTTTCACAAAGCAATGGAGTAGCGATATTCAAAAGTTGTTTCTGTTGAATATGTGGATCCAGAGAAAAACGATAGAAAAGCACGAATATGGGTGATCCAGCTAGTTCGTCTGATCGCTTTTTTTTCAAAGGACAACGATGACTGCGGATACTGCGTGGGCTGATGCAGCACCCAATCTACGTTTCGTCCCTTTAATAAACACTGAACACAACATTTGAAATCTCCAACAAGGACTTACTTGTCAGCAACCTGTCTCGCCTTCAACAGAGCAGCAGTATAGCAAATGGTAGCGGATTTGGGGTAATGAATATCTGTCAAAAAATGAAAAATAAATGATGCATCGACCGATTAACGACGCCCGAAAACAGAGAAAACAACCTGCATAAAGACGTTCGTGTAAAACATAAGACTAGTTTTGGTTAGTGTGATAATCCGAACGAAGAAGTGAAACAAAGTGCGCCAAGGCAATAGTTGGGTTCGAGAAATCAAACAGATGGAAATCACTGAGAAACCTTAAGTGAAGTATCAGAATATACGGATATAGATCGTTCAGCTGTAGCACCCTTTCGGTGCCTAGCCGCCATGCTACCTGGAGGCACGAGGGTCGGGGTACTGCCAGGTTGCCCAAGCCTAGACACGAGGCTGAGAGGTAGAGGTCGGGTTCGAACGATGAACCTTCCCGTCAGTAAATTCGCGCTCTTATCACTGAGTCCATTCGCCCCCCTGATATATGGACACACTCTTGATAGATGTGACTGTCTGGAGATGAGGGCTTCAGTCGATTAGCCCATACCGCGAACGCTAACCTTTTGCTCAATCCAAGCTTTAAACTCTCATCCACATGCGCATCGGTGATCAGAAACAACTAATTCGAACACTTCGTGTCCCAGTAAAACTAAGACTACTGGTCGGTATGTACATAACTCGAACTCCATCGTGGCATTTCGACTGATAGGACCCTAACCGTCAAGTTTTATCCGGGTGGATGGCAGCTTTGGATAGGATGATTGAGTAAGAAGTTACATACCACACGTTACCTTCTCCGACAGGAACTTCGGTTCCCTGAATGAGCTGACCATCTAGGTGAATTTTTATCAGTGTTCAAATTAAAAAATCAGCTCCGCAAAAGAATCTACAAACAAGTATTTCATGGTTATATGCAAACACAAGTTCTGTCGTTGAACGCCCATTTTCACAGTAACCGTGGAAATTCTTTCGACCAGTTTTGGTCATATTTCTAGTCTGCTTAGACTGCAGTGAAAAAACGCTCATCTGTTGTACCCTTCGGTGTATGGCTACCGTGTAACTCGAAGCAAGTACGAGGGCTGACATACTGGCAGGGCTCCAAGCCTGGAGAGGACCAACTGAAAGACGGATCTTCCAGTCAGTAGTTTCACGTTTAACCGCTAAACCATTTTGAGCTCGTTTGAAGCTATTTAAACCAAACCCCTCAGACTTGGTTCTTAAAGCTTTCCAACTCGAGATCCAATTGAATCTCGGCTGCTTACTGGTCAGTGATCACCTATTCGAACCTGCAGATGTAATACAGGCTCGTGGACATCTGGTCATTTTATAAACAGAACTTTCTGTCACCAACAAATGATTAGTGCTATATATATATATAAACCCACAGCAGAAACTCAGATAACTTGAACTCTCTCCCTCTCTCTGACTGATATCAAAGGCTACAGAACTCAATGTTCTTAATGGTACTACTCGACGTACTTGGTGTGGGCGACGTACTCGAAAGCTGACTAGTTTTGCTTCGGTTTATGCAGTTCCATAGGGACCCTACTTATCAGCCCACTTCAATCCACATCGCACAAGCCCAAGTAACCCCGTCGCCGTACAGAAAAAGCATAAGCACGGAAACAGAGCAACGATTAAGCCCCATCCCATCTTTCTTGGGGCAGAAATTTCTAGATTAAACCCTATTTATGCGGATTTAAACTTTTAGTCAAGCGGCACAAACATCTTGAAGGCAATCGAAACTCTCTTGGCTGAGAAGATACCAAAAGGAACTTCACTGGAGGATATCGATCGGCTGAATTACTCCTGTGCAGAGCCACTAGTTTAGGGATATATAATTGAACAGAGGGTGTGAATACATAAGCTAACACGGTATCCATCAACGATGTATATATATGGAACTGGAAATCTCTCTGCAAATAAGGTCAGTGGATATGACTTTAAAGCATGGTGCAACAGCTTCCTGTTCCCTTATGCAACCTCCCCTTAAAGTCTTAGATCGACAGTCTCAGATCACAGTCATACAACATGTGACAACAAGTGACATGTCACTTGGGATTCAGGGACGCCACTGGTGTCTCAAATTAACAAACACGACCTGAGCATTGCATACTCGTGCACTGGCCTTATCTGTCACACTAAAATCTGAACTAACACAATTTCCAAGGCAAGTAAAACGCTCCACAACTTCGAGTGCCTTTCCCTGGATTGCAAGTGGCGTGTTCAGTGACTACATATCTACCTTACATGTTTTTGGTGCAAAGTGCATACTAAAAGGACGGGACGACCTTGGTCAGTTCATCTAAAAACATCGGCGCCTTCTCCTCTTCGAACACGATAACTATATCGTCTACATGTTCCAGATGGACAAGTTTTTCCTCAACAGTTATGTGAACACCATGGTTTCAAAGACCTTCCAGCGTTCGTCTGCTTATTTCATCGATCGCGAAATCAAATAGGAGTGGAGAGAATGGGTAGTCTCAACGGATACCCCTCTGTGTGCGAAGGCTCTTGGAGAGCACGCCGTATACTCCCACACGTCCGGAAGTCTGATAATACAAAGAACTCATGTTCACAAGTATTCGAAACATTTCCTGTTGGGCCAGAGTGTCAAGGGGAACGGACCGGTCAACCGAGTCCAATGCACCTTGGAAATCCAGGAATACTAGAACTGTGGGTCGTTTGTACATATGACCCGACAAAGTGTTAAGATTTGATAAACGAAACCCCTACCAGGCCGGAACCCTGCTTGCTGCTCGAGTCAGTGTTTCACGAGCCGTCATAAGACACGAAGCACAATTGATGCCAACAGTTTCGTTACAACCGTGGTCAAGCTGATCCCCCTGTGGTTGCCACACTCACTACGCGCCCCTTTTTGAAAACAGGCACCATCACCGACTCTCCCCAGTTGTCTGGGACAGACTACTTTTCCCAAACGCAAGCAAACGGATCGGACAAGCGCTGACTGAGAACTTCAACTCCTTCGTTTGAACAATGTGGGTGGGAGGTCGTCCGGAACAGAAGCGCTTGAGCGAACATATACAGTCATAAATCCCCGAGGCCATAGGGGGTTTCACGTTCACCGTTCAGGGTTCTACGTCAACTGTTATCTTCAGATGCGTGACAGCATATGGCCACAACTGTTGCTTGAAGTATTCGACCCCATAGTCGAGGCATTCTTCTTCACTCAAGATGGTCATTCCATTTCGATCCTTGATGGTTCCGCTCACAGATGGTTTCCGGGGTCCATTTGCACGGGTCAGATGAAATAATCTTCGGATATTAACAGATTTCTGAGCCTCTTCCATTCCATTGGCTTTCCGTGTCTACCAAACTTCACGGCCGGCTCGCGCGTATACTTTCACTTAATCTTTTATAATTCTTATGGTCAAGTTGTGTTCGGGACCAGTTGGGATATTTCTCCGAGATTTAAGCACGCTCTGATATCCAGTGCTTGGGTGGGTCTAGTAGCGCTATGTCACAGGCAAAACTCCTAGCACTGCTGATGGCATCACTCGACCGCCGAGGTGGCATGAGTTTATTGGCATATGTGCAATTCATGGTTGTACGTGTGCTAGGATACTGCCAGGACGCCCACACCTTAGACAGGAGGACGATTAGCGTCCCCAACCAAAGCCCTTAGCTCAAGAGCCTGACCACAAGCCAGCAGTGTTTGGTGGAAGATGCAAATGCATTACAATTTCTACGGAACAAGTCGCCACACATGTTCTGACCCCCAACGCGGAGGTCCAGGAGACTGTGTTCGTCAGACCTCTAACCACTGACCAAGTTGGTGTGAGACTCTGAGTGTCGCGTGGACACCCCCAATATAGCTCAATGGGTTTTCGAGGTACACAAATCGTCACACCAAGGTCCTGTCCCTTTATGACGGACACACTGAAACATAGTTCCCTCTTAGACGCTGGAAGCAAAAGTAGTCATCTCCTTGCCGTGAGGGCTTTTTCGTTCTTCTTCCCCTGGTTTTGCCAGGTAGGATTTTCCTATGATTTGATGGCATTCGCTTATTAAAAGCCTTTATTATAACTGCAAACTGAAAGGATAGCCAACACTAGGCGGACAAATGTCACGGAGTAGTTGAAACTACATTTGTATGAGCGCAACACACTATCTATGAAGTTATCGGAAACTCTATGATTGTCCACCACCGCCTCGGTCCCTCTTGGGGCTCATCAACTAGGCGCGGTCGCCGAGTTTCCATCAATCTTACGTTCTAGTTGAACCCAAATTGAACAAATACACTCAGTTACATACCAATTTAGTTTTCAAGGGAAACTCACCTGAAACCCAGCTTAATCCCTCAATGATAACGTTCTTCAACTGAATGTGCTGCACCAGACCGCCTTATTTTTCAATCGTTAGGATATTCGAGATACCGCAATACAGCGTATAGACGTAACACATTATTTATAAGGTTGCAGCATTTCGATTTATCTTATCTGGGGTCGGGCAACTCAGCCTTCACGCTTTCTTCGGGTGGCATAGCAGCTAGGCGCCGAAAGGATTATTTTTTATTATTGTCTTGCACAAAACATGGGAACTGTCGAACAGAACACCACAAATTTTAAACGCGAAACCGGCTTGGAACGAGGGAAAGTTGAGACGTACAACACCTATGATTAATGCGTTATAGTAGGCAGCCCACATGGATGAATAGTTGCCGGGTGAAGGAAAAAGTGAACCAATTGGACAGCAAACCTTTTGAACAACTTGTGAACATGTGCTCTAGGTGGTTTGCCTGAGCTGAGTAGTTTCGTCATACACACCATATAGATCCATGTGAGACTTTCACCTTGAGCAGATCAATTTGTTCGATAAAAATCATACCTCCAGCAGAAATGAGTGAAGCACCGGGTGCAGGGCCAAGATATACTATCGTAGATGACTGACAGCTTAAATATTCCCATGATGGTTTATAGCAATTACTGAATTCATTCTCCGGTGTTCAGTCCTGAGGTCGGCTGTGAGTTGAAGGTCACGGAGTAGTTAACATCCGCTCACAACGCGCATGGAGCAGCAACTAGAGAAACCACAAAACATTTCTGCCTTGAGGAGTCCTTTAGCTGGACGGACCATGACTATAAAAATTCAATTTGCTGAAGCCCACGCACATACATTGCAATGTACTTCGGTAAGCGTTCCTCCTACAGCAAATGGATTTCCCTTGCGCTATCAAACCAGTCGTTTGCGTGAAACTGGTTCGAAAACATAACTGTCGGTTGCAAGCATGTTTCGATGAGATGGCTTATTACTTCCGCCACTGGCCACAACATATTTCAGTTCTGTGGCTGACCACTGATAAAGCTTTGCCCTGATTTCACGAATTAGCTTAGTTCACATAGCCTACTGTATACCTGTCCATTTGGGTAGTTTGAAGCAAACGTTCCAGGATGAGTCTGTTTTGCAATTTTTACCACACTATAAACGAATTTCGAAGATGACCACTTGCAAGTTGGAAATCTTGCTAGATTTTTTATCGTTGTCAGGAAGTCATAGGAACTGCATACACCCTTCTCTTTTGCGTAAAGAATGGAAACGATTTCGCGAAAGAATGTTTGGGCCCGTTTGAGACGAGGGAATAAATTCTACTTCAACATCTTTCCTGGATGAACAACTGAGCATCTGTAGCTGAATTTTGGTTAAAATCTACTAAACGAGAGGGTACACTATCGGCAGTGAGATAAATTGAAGCCAAGGTTATCCGTTTTAGTGGATATCATACAGTGCAACAAATTTTTGTTAGTGGTGCTTTTACTACATACATGCATGAATAACCTGTAAAAAAGATTATGAAATCTTCCTACTAAAAGAATTCTCATGCAGACATGGTGATCCGGCTTAAGTGCTGAAATAAACCAGAATAAAGTTGTTCAGCTGTAAGACCACTTTAGTGCATAACTGCTATCCCACCCAGAGAAAGCAAGATGGTTCAAATACTGTCGTGATCCCCAGGCACAGACAGGGGCAGTCGGGATTAAAACCACGGACCTTCCGGTCGTCAATTCGTGCCTTAACCATTCGGTCATTTCGGGCTCAATGAATCGGTGGGTCGTAACGGCTGGAATTTCGTTCCTCAGGGTTCAAATATGCCAGAGAGACGTAGTGGGAGCAATCCGATGAAGTGCAGTGAGCAACCGTACGATGAGTAATAGTAATAATACGATTCGGTTGGGGGAAGGAGGCTGAGACCGCACCAGCCTTTCCGACAGGGTTATGAAGGCAACCAGCATGTTCATATTCATTAGAGCAGTAGTGCTACCATTCAGTGAAGAGGGTCAGTACTCAAAAGTGTAGGCTCCGATTACTTAACGGTTGAGTATGACTACAAGCACATTGTCCAGTGACGCTAAAAAATAGTCTGATCAAAAGTTTGATGCACACCCCAACACATCTACCGTGACAGCATCAGCAAGAGGCAGGCATCCATGCCCTACTCTCTGAGTTTCCACGATTGACCAATCCACCCCCACAGACAAGTGTGTCGCAGTTTTGAGTTAAGTGAGTCTCATAAGAAAACCCAACACATGCTACCCTCTACGACCATTATGCAGCAGGCCCCGAAATAATCCTCACATCTTACAAGTACTTCGTTGATGCATGTGATGGTTTTTTTGCGGGAGGTGTATTGTTCAGTTTCACATCACTCTCGTTTTGAACAGTCGTCCTCCTGTCCTGGCGCAATTATTCATGTGAATCCACATCAAAGGGGGGAAGCACTGGACTCGAGTTTCGCTCTTGTTAGAGCTCATCAGCAGGGCATATCCAATGGCCGTGCCGGGGTTTGAACTCCGGACACCTGACATGCGAGGCGAACGTGATACCACTATTCTCACGTCTGAACGGGTGAACGTGTTCTCACTTGAGCGATGTGATTAGTATGCCCAACACATCATCGATACGACGGCCCAGTAACTGTCCTGGTTGTGACGATCGATTGGCCCGCTTGTCAGGACTTCCCAGTCAGGTAGCGCCACAGACGCTTGAAACCGGCTGGACAACTTTGTTGATGCATGTGATGGTTTTTGCGGGAGGTGTATTGTTCAGTTTCAGTGGAATAGTGGTAACACGTTCGCCTCGCATGTCAGGTGTCCGGAGTTCAAACCCCGGCACGGCCATTGGATATGCCCTGCTGATGAGCTCTAACAAGAGCGAAACTCGAGTCAAGTACTTTGTTATATAGACCATCAGGTCAAAAGCGAAACAACGCCACTTCTTCAGCCTGAACGATTGTGAAGCAGTATTCGCCCAGGCAGCTACATGCGCACTGGATTCTAAACCTCCACCCCCCACACCTTCCCATTGTTCAACCAATCCGCGCTAATCCGCTCAGCTGTCAGCTAACCGAACGTTGTTCCGCCAAGCAAAATAACCCTAAATAACTCTTACGTTAGCTTCAAAAACATCATCCACATGAAGCCTGTGAGCGAACGAAGACATTTATCAGAATTTTGATTTCCCTTTCTGACGGTATCGTGGGCCTCCCAAACAAGCACGCGGTCACGCATCTAAAACCGATTACGATGAGCATGATATTCCACATTTAACTCATTGGGTAACTGGGGGGCCTTGATGCAATGCCTCTTGGATGGTTTGAATTCCAATCGTATTTCCAGCCGTGCATGTGCTGTAAAGTTGCGTCCCTCAGTCAGGATGAATGTGATTCTATTCCGTAAAAAAAGGCTTGCTTGTGGTATCTGAATTAGTACAGCTAAAAGGCTGGGAAAGATGGCCTTTATCGAAAGCTGTTGAGAATGTATTGATCAGCAGAGAGGGCAGATGTAGTTATCATGGCGAGCAGTGTGAATGTCCACATCGCGGACTATGGCCAGAAAAAAGACATACTTGGGTGGAACATTCAAAGCTGATTCACACCTTACGGACAAGAGATGGACAACTCCTGTTGTGATGAACGCAGCCTGTTCGTGACGAGTACAGAAGTTCAGTACAAGCACTCACATTGTGTCACTTGGAGGTCAACTGCAGCTTCAAAAACGATAGCAAAGAGCACAGTATAACTGGAAGCAACGACTTGCAATACTCACCGTCATATTTGGCCAGAAATGCTTGTGCGTCCGCATACTGCTGGGCAGCTAAATAGCACTCGATCAGGTTCTCGTGTATGTTGAACAAGTTCAAGTTTGGATAGTCTTTGATCAGCTGTAATGGGGAAGAAAGTTTTGGGCATAATTTACTCGGGGTTATCTGGAGAAATAACTAAATTGTGTCCGGTGTGTGTGGTCTGTAACTTTTCTGGTGTAACCCCACAGACAATTCACGTGACGGCAGCTTGTGCACACAAAGAAGTTCTGAGATCGCAGGACCACGAGCACAAAGAAACAAGCCTCTATGAAAAGCGAGAACGGGTGAAAATCGGTAGAAAATCTGATAACTACTCATATCACACATGCACCCTATTCTCCATCGAGCATGCGTGCTTCTGAAGAGTCTTGCGACTAATCACAGTTGTTCAATGGCTGTCAGTCATCCGTCATTCATATTATATTTCTGTCATGTATGTATTCGATCACCGCCCTAGCCGTACCCAATTACCGATGAATGTTCGGTTTGTCGTTTTGTAGAAAGAAAACAGCGTAAGATGGTAGTCAATTTTGGCCCTTTTATGACGATTAAACTATACCTGCAGTTGAATACCTAGGGTTGGGCAACCTGACAGTAACTCAGCCCCCCGGGTAGCGCAGCAGTTAGGCACCAAAACAGTGCTATATCCGCACGAACCACAAGTTAAAACTGTGGCTTAAACTTGGGTATACCTTCGGCTAACAAATCTCCCCTCTAGGTTCAGCGGACAGTCGTGAAACTCATCCTCTAAAATGATTACAAGGAGTGGTAATGTGCCAACAATATTAAAATAAGAACAAGACGCATTCAGAAAAGTGCGAAAGGATGAGTCGATCATTATACCGCTGGCTGATAAAAGACTAATCGTCGTGTTGGACAAGTCGGACTACATTGAGGCCAAACAACTACTGAATGATGTCAACACCTGTCGGCTGACTGATCAAGGCTCCACTTCAAAACTGGTCAGCCACATCACCAAGACACTCAGAAAACTACAAGAAACACACGAGACAAGCCAGGAACGATGAAAAATGAGGGCGGATGACTGGAGCATCGCCAAACCTAGGGTTCACAAAAGGGAAATAATGAAGAAACTCCGCTTTGATCAAATGCAAGACTGACGGAGGCGACCAAAGCATCTGTTTACTGGACCAGAACACACAATAAGTAATTATGGATAGTTTCTCAACAAACTGCAGAATATCAAGGTGAAGAATGACGAAAGTGTGCTCTCGTTTGACGTCACTGCCCAACTCGCGTCAGTCAGCCATGATTTTGCCAAGGGAACCGTTTGCATCAGAGCAATCTAAACACAATAGGCGCAATAAAGGCGGAGAACACATGCAAACTATTGAACTTTTGCATCAATACATCCCTCACATTCGATGGACAAATTTACCAACAGTCGAGGGGAACTCCAATGGGATCATCCATATCCGAAATCATCGAGACAATGATGCACAAACTGGAGCACATCGCACTACTAATAATCAATCCCACAGTCTGCATCCGATATGTAGGTGACACCGGAGTCATTATGAAACGGACTAGTGTAGTACGCACATGAATCAGTCAAGACCACATTCAAAGACGTCCATTTCACTATGACACTTGAGAAAGACCGCTCGTAATTCTTGAATACACTGGTTAGTAAGACTATGGATGGGTACCCTCAAACCTGCATTTATCAAAAAGACGGAGCAGATGTTGAGTTAGAACAAAAACCACCCTACGAACCACAAAAAGTGCACGCAAAAGGACAGCGGAGGCACACTGCAATACAACTGAAATGAGAAGAAAGGAAATTATCTATACTGAATATTTTGAGAGTAAAAATGCCTACCCAAGGACTTTTATCTGAAGCAAGAAGGACCTTCTGAGGCAACAAGAACAACATGGACAGACAAACGATCATACTCCCATACATCAGACATGAATCGGAACTTGCAATACATCTGCTAAAACCAAAAGAACTCTCAACAGCCCACGAACCAACGGCTACATTGATAAATGTGATTTCAAGGCTCAAAGAGAAGATCCACAACGATACCGTGAACAAAGTTGTTCACCAAATTAATTGCCTGGATTGTCACAAGTTCTATGTTGGACAAACAGTACGAAAAACACGGTAAAAGAACATATTGAAGCAGTTGAAAGGTTTCAACACACCAATTCAATCCAGAAAACAAGGTCATAGCACGCGGATGGACATGGTATGCGAGTTCATAAAACCACAGTACTCCGCCATAAACTCAACCAACTAGAATATAGCACTAAGAGCAAAGGATCACCAACTTGATCGGACAACTCAGAGGGAACAGACGAATTAGTTGGCAAGAATGGTAATCATGGTATTGCTAGGTCAAATTGACTATGGAATGAGTCGGAGGAAACTCCGATCAACCAGAGAGCTAACTAACCATTCAAGAAACGGGACTGCCACTCCAAATGACCAATAATAATTAGGGGCTACCCACCCCCGCGTCAAGAACTACGTAATTACAAGCACAATACCGACCAACACCTGCACACCGACGCAATACGGTGCACTGGCAACTAACAGGGCACTGTTGACCTCAGCTCGTTTGATGACCAAAAGTTTGCGACCAGATTACCTAGCTCGGCGAACAAGACAACAGCTATCTGTAAAACCTGAACTACCAACATTTTGTTTGATAAGAAACACCGTCCTTTCGATGTGTCGTTCAGCTGTAGCACCCTTTCGGTGCCTAGCTGCCATGCCACACGAAGGAGGCACGAGGGCTAGGATACTGTCAGGTCGCCCTAGCCTAGACACGGGAAGTCGAGTGGCAGAGGTCGGGTTCGAACCACGGACCTTCCGGTCAGTAAATTCGCGCTCTAACCACTTGGGCCATCTCGCCCCCCCCCCGTGGGCCATTTCGTTCTTTCGACAGCCCCTGTGCAATCAAGCATAATGGACAGATCGTAGCTGCAATGGGAACACAAGGAAATTTTGAATCTTCAAATGCACGGGATCGTTCAGCATGGTTCTTGGTTCCATGTGTGCCAAAAATTAACTCTATACTCGGACGATAATTATTTCTTATATCCGGCTTTATGCAGTTTTAGTGTGACTGAATTGAATGATCCATGGACTGGACTGTTTCAGGCTGAGCACCTTCCAGATGCACTTCACAACTTCAGATCCTTGGCTACCAACCCAATTCATGGATTGGCTGAATACGAAGGTCAGTGAAAGCCCGCTGGTTTTACCATGTTTGAGACCAACCAGGTAGACACAGTCTTCTAAACCGAATCAGACTTTTATTTCATTTGGAAAACTGGTGCGTGTATTGCATTTATGAAGCGTTTGCGTTTGCATCAACAAGAAAACCAGGGCTTGAATCATCTTTGATTTGTAATGGAAATGAACGATAAATATAATACACATACAGTTAGTTGTCGATTGATATTTCGGAACCGTGTCCTCCCGATGAAAACAAGTGGAAATCAACAACAGACCGTCCGGGAGTGATCAACTTTATGAGTGATAGCGCTTATAAAGAGAGTGCTTTGACATCCTAAAGAGCGACAGTGAACACGCAAACAGCGGCCTCCGAGCATTGAATCCACCATTGACGTCAGTTGAGCATTCAAACGAGTTACAATCATAATGGGGCTAGATATTTTGCATTTTTTCAAAACAGCACAGAATAGGTCCGCACTGCAGCACAGCAAAAGAGAGAGATAAGAGTAAAGGACCTGATAAACGAACATTCGGTCGATCAGACGAGCAAACTATAGAACGAGCCGGTGGGGACAAGGTGGTGAGATAGAGTGTTAGGTTACACCACCAAACCGAGTCCGGCTCGATTATGTCCTGGCACCGTACAATGTGCCCATTTCCAAGACACTTGCCATACCTACTCTGCGTGCAGTAGTGAATAAGTGTTGTGCTCTGAACTATGAACGTCTTGAATCTACATATTATGGGTGATTCGAGTGTTTTCATGAGTCCGTTGCATTAAACTGACCAAGACCTGCACGACGACTGATTCTCCTGATCTGCGTGGACACCAACAACGGGCTTTGTATACGTATCTCATGACGTTAAACGATTGTGCCACGCCTCCCCACCATTAGATTGGTCGGGGCTTGTCATGACCATATAAACCATACCTTTGCATAACCCATTAACTCGTAATTCCCACTCTATATTCTCAGCTCATGTACTACCGTTATTAGACGAGTAAAGCGTACATTACGTCCTTCTATTCTATCTCCTTTCTAATCTCGTCCTCTCTCTCGACTCTCGCAACAGGGCTAAATAATATATTCTAGTAGAGGCTGTGCGAATAGGTCTCATAATTACAGACAGAGCGAGTAAGTCGGCGCAACTCTTCACAAACATCACGATCGCAACTTTCATCTATCTGTTAGTCTGTTAACATCTGATGACCACACCGGAATTTAACCTCGCCAGTCAGTACACCTGTGTATACCATCAGTCTAGCCACAGGTTTTCACAAGTATGGCCAATTTTAGGATCAACGCAGCTCCACTATATGCCTAGTTGTAGGCAGTTTCGGGATCTGTTGGATTCGCGTTCACATCATTCGTCCAAACGGTCCTCCTGTCCTGATATCATCAGTCTGCTTAATCCATAGAGCTTCTCCTTTCCCCTTTTCTCCTTCCCTTGGTGTGAACTAACCGGAATGAGCGCGTCTGGAAAGGAGGCTGTTGATGAAAGTTGAAATTTATGTCACTGGACCAGAAATAATCTGTATCTGAGCAGTTCATGAACTTGTTTATATTGATACTAAACACCAAAGTCGGTATGAGGTAGTGATCTGTATTGGTCCCCTTGGGAAATTCTCAAACCTCCGAAGCGTAGTGACGCTCAAGCGACTATTGGCGCAAGGTGCTCATATGGGCGATAACTGGATGACTACACTCAAAGGGACAGTGAAACATAAAGTATTGCGTGATAATGTACGTTAGTGCCAGACTAATTGAAAAGGACCATGATTTGCTGCTTCCTACATCTATCGTAGTAACGCTCAGCGCACAACATGGCAGTCCAGTTCTTTTAACATCAGTGACGCTACACTAGCATAGCACCCGGCGGAGAGTGTCGAGTAAATCTAACGGAAAAGGACAGTAGTGTGACTGGTTGAGAATCCAACGCATAATCGATAACTTACATCTTTCATCATTTTGATAGCTTCTTTCAACTTTCCAAGCTTCCTGGCACACATGGCTTGCCGTCGACGAATGAACACGTATACGTGAATGTCTCGATGATACATGGCCTCGTGTGCCGGGCTGTGATTTTGCGTTTGCTGAGACCGTCGAAGTGCTGCCTCTGCCACTTTGTGGGCTTGTTTGTACATTTTTTCAACCTAACAGAGAAAAGAACAAAAAAACCAGTCGGATCAAAAACTCAATTTTATCGGTCGACCTCTGTGGGAAACACAGTAGGTATGACAGAAGACCCACCATGGATACTAGCTAATGCCTATCCATACTTGCAAGAAGACACCGGCAGAAAAATTGGCGACAGACCATGGTTAACTTCTTATTCTACGGTTTACTTGTGGTATATTTAGCTAGATAATGAGAGCCAGATGGAACTAACAACATGTCCCATTGGTCGTCTGGGTTTTGACGAGAGGACTGAATGAGTTGGGTGCACAGCCAAACTAAGTTTGTCAATGACGTAACACCTTTTTTCATAAAGGAAACTACTACAAGGTTGCTGAAAACTCTTCGACAGCCCATGACCGGTTTCGCCCTTCTTGGGGCTCATCAGGTAGGCGCAGTCCCCGAGTTTCCGTCAACCTTATGTCCCATTGGGTCGTCTGGATTTTGACGAGAGGACTGAATGAGTTGGGTGCACAGTCAAACTAAGTTGATGTCAATGACGTAACACCTTATTCAGCTGATTTGAAGTGATATAGTGAACACAGTTATGAAACTTACGTGAAAATGCGAAGTAGAATTCCGAAAAGAATGCGAATACCTTTGTAAACATCTCTGAAAAATAAACACTCATTGGCACAGGAGAGGCCCGCAGCCTAGCAATGAACTGACACGTAGTGGTTGGCGATGAATTGGTCTCCTAATGATGGAACATGAAACAGAGCTACTTGGCATCTTATGATAAAACGATAACTTTAGGCGATCAGGGCATTGAAGCAGCAAGGAACGAGCCTCGTGCAAGAATTACTTAAAGTTCGGGTGTTGGTTTGGGATATCATCCCAGTATGTGGAGTGAGAAAATTTGGAATGCTGAAAGGCAGTGCGCATGCAAAAGGATACTGGAACAGTTCGCACTACCATTCATTACAAGTAGGTGGGGGGAGGCTGTAGTTTAAAGCCAAAGAAGTAAACAACACATCCTTTCATCGAGAGCTGGTTTCCGTCTCACTGTGCGAAACTAGAGAAGCGCCAGCAATGTTAATTTAATAACCCTTGTTTTATGGGATGCTAAGAAGGAGATCAATGATGTGGAAAATCCCATCCTTGGGTTGATGATAATGGTAGGCGCCAGACTGGCACGTATGCATTCAGCGATGTTTGGTGCCACCTTAAAGGAATATGTGACAGGTATCGTTCTCCCTCATACAGAGAAACTGTCATATCAAGCCGCTGACTTGGTTCATGCCATTAAATGAGTGGAAATCACCACTGCTGCTGGAAAAATCCAGCAAGGGTGAAACAACGTGCATAGGACTGACAGAAACTGTGATGGATTTCATAAGAAATCGCTGATGGCTTGCAGGACCGTATTGGACACAAATTTGATCTTCGGAGTAAAAGTGTTTGAATTAAAAGACACTATCTTCGCGCTGGCACAAAAGACAGAACAACGACGGGTTGCGAAAAATTACTGGAAGTTTTTTGTTGTACATTTCGATCTTCACTGGAAGTGTTTGAAAAAATCGTTCAGCTGTAACACCCTTTCGGTGCCTAGCTACCAAACCACTCCAAGGAAGCACGGGGGCTGGGATACTGCCAGGTTGCCCAAGCCTTGACTTGGGAAGTCGAGAGGAAGAAGTTTGGTTCGAACCACGGATCTTCTGATCAGTAAATTCGCGCTCTAACCGCTGAGCCATCTCGCTCCCAGCTAGAGAACCGGCCAGTATGCAATCTTAATCTCATTCCGATTGAGTTCTGAAATGCCAATACACAAGTGCAAGTGTACAACTCCAAACCCAGTAGGACGGAAAGCGCCCTCGGCTACAGTGACATCTATGCACTCACCGTCAGTGTCGAGAAGAGTTTTAAGGATATTTTGAAAAGCAACGGCCGAGATCCGTCATCCCAAGATAATAATACTTTGAGATAGCCCAGCACCTGTGAGTCATTTTCCAATTTTTTGTCTAAGGAATAATCTTGTGAGTTCTGGCCGGATATTATTTCCACCGGTATCCTTCATCTGCTGATAGAAAATCATTCCACTCTACTTATTAGTGAAGTCATCACGAAAAGGACAGATGAGCTTAATTTCACCGCGAGATGACCTTCCTTGATATGACAAGTCAAAAATTGAATCCGTTTGACCTAGCTACATCTGTAAATCACAGTCAAGTTCTCCCACAGTTAATTTCCTTCAACGAGACATGCGAATAACATCCAACCATACATAACCGACTGGAGACACCAGACGCAGTTCGAAACCTTGCGTCAAATGAACGAACTTCAAAACAAAAGTCTTCATCAGTGCAAAAAAAACACTTCCTTTGCCTCGAACCCAAAGGTTAAATGTCCTGCAATTGTAATGATTGCAGGCATTCATTTTAATTGACGCTAAAAGGACCAGATTAACACCCTAGGAAATGAGAGGGTGGTGAGCCACATAACTGTGCTAAAGCTATTCTAAATTCTTTTCGAGCTACACACCACTATTTGAGAACAATTTCGGTCCTAGTGGACTGTACCTGCTGGTCCGTCTTGTATCATAACTTACCCTTCGTTGTACACACTAACAGAAACAAACGAACAGAATTACATGGGAAAAAACTGCAAAACCAATCGTCCACTATTAATCATACTTCAATTCATCACATCCTCACTAGGTCGAGAACCCAAGCCGGCCACTTTACGATCACTTTACAGATGGTCTTCTTACTAACCCAAAAGCCCTAAAAGCCAGGCAAATTTATTTTCCTTGCGTTCTTCACCGGTAAATTTCGCTCTTTACTGTGACCAAACATGGCCGGGAACATCACTTTCTCCGTATTTCGTGCATCCACAGAAATTGCTCTTCGAGCAGCAAGCCAAACTTCGGAACAGACCGCACTAATACAAGTTCCCCCGTCGGTTCGATCGTGTAAACCACCGAGTTCCGGAAGAACTGTGATGGCGTGAAAAGGACGCAGAATCAACTAATTTGAATAATATCCATCGGGGTTGAAAATCCCCTTGCTGGTCATTTTTTGCGGCGCATTCCTACATACCCGCACGAAACTTTCAATAACTACCAACTCCTTCCAGTAAAAGCACCGCTTATCTGTCCTCAGCATTTCAATGCTCCAAGTGAGGTCAATAAAAACGTACTTCGACGATGTGAGAACACTCTTCTTCGGCCAAAAGAATCATCGCTGTGGCACACTCTGGGTTTTTTGTCAATGCTTCCTTGGTTTTTTTGAGTCTCTCTTCGTGATTGCGCTCGCGCCAGGCCATCTGCATCACTAGGGGCAAATGGGAGAGAAGCAACGTCACACATACGTTCGTACTCAGGCCGACCAGCATCAGCTTCACAAGTAAAGAAGGTCTGATGGTCTTGGGCTGACAAGTTCATATCATAATAGGTTAATGGATCTCGGTTAGTTTCGCGGAAGAATCGTTGGTACTCTGCACCGCGAAACAAACTGTACGGGTTCCTCCAAACTTTGCATTCTAAACCAGTTAATATCGATAATTTCCATTACCCTGAGCAGTTGTAAGGGGACCGTTGGAGTCCACGCTGTCACAGTCATTTTCATCGTCTGTACCACCAATCAAGGGGTAAATGTGGTTCATTGAAATCTGCTCTATGAACGACTTTCCATACTTTCTGAAGTACCACCACTCGAATATCTACAGCGAGTTAACGAAAGATTAGTCGTTACCAATATTATCCCAGAAATGAGAGAACTTGTTCCAGTCAACGCGACGTAGAATTTCGGCGACAACGTATTCAGGAACATCGTCACTAAAAGGAAATGCAGTGCTCGACTAAATTCTAATTGCCTCTTACAGTGAGATAGTTTCTCCACCAACTGTGGAGGCTTGTATATTAAATAAGTCAAAAGCGCAACAGCGCAGAACAGAATACTCCAAAGGCAGCCAGATGGCCAATAACAACCTTCTGTTGTGGGTTCAGTAACACGGTAACAGGTGCTCATAATAGGCGCAGCCCCTGTAGCGAAACAACCGTACGACGCGCCTCGTTCGGAAGCTTCATTCAGTTCACATGCATGCGCGAGGCTTTCACCGGTCCTAGACAGGTTACATTAATCCTGGTGACCCAAGTTGGCTTACTGTCACATTGCGTCGGAGAAGGCAGAAGATTGTCCGTTATGCTTTTTCAGTTTCCAAAAGGAAGTTGAACTTTCTCAATTATCC